CCCCCCCCCCTCTCTCACCCTCGCTCCCCTGGCGTGCGCCGCGACGTAGTCCGCCTGGTGGGAAAACGCCTCCTCCGGCGCGATCGGGCTCTCGAGGTGCCAGCACACCAGCTTCATCAGCGCCGAGGTCCCGCTCTGCCGAAAAACAAACAATACCAGACAACAAAATAAGCAAAGCACGACGGTGGTACTAGAGATCCCTCTTGTACATGTAACGCTGGTGGGGGGACAAAATCGCCTCCCTGTGGAAAAAAAAAAAAAGAGGCCTAAAAGGCGGCGGTGTGGGTCCACGTGCTCCGTTCGCCTCTGTACTACAACATCACACTCATCTCGACACAAAACTGCTGGGTGTTGTTGTCGACGCATATGCACCACACCACAACCAACCCCTGCCTCTCACGAGCGTGGTGTGCTTGTCCGGCGCGATCTGTTCCAGTGCACCAAGAGCTCTCCGGGCCGCCTCCATCGAAATGGGCTCCGTCAGCGTGTTGTACGAGTACATCCGGGGGCCTCGCGTTACCTTTCTCGCCCAAATTTCGCCAAGTGTTTTGGTTTCATTGTTTTCGAACAAAGGCGAAGAGAGGGAGAGAGAGGGGGGGGGGGGGGGCGTGAACAGAGGCGTCTTCATCGACAACTTGTTGACCCGCGTGACAACAGGCTGGTGGCTAACCCCAAATTCTCGTAAAAACAGAAAATTGTCGCGACCCTGCATCAAGGAGTTTTTCAGCAAGAGGCACTGAAAATTTCAACCGCATGTTGTTCGTGGCGGGGAGACACACACGTACAGATACAATGGCGCAAGGAGGTTGTTCTGTTGGTCCCACGAGTACAGGCTTGCCCCCCAGCGGTATGTGTGAGTTTTCATACGGCATCGATCGCGCCAACGGCTGACCGATGAGAAGGTTTTTAGTCTCAGCGTATAGCCAAAACGATTTAGAATGTGCGGGGGCCCTCAACACGGGGACTACGGAAAATACTGGATGGCCAGGATTGGCCTCCGATCACCGTGAAAAGTTACTTCCGCTCGGTTCTTATCGTGATGCTTCCTTCCAATCGAACCATTTCAGCCAATTGCTGCGGTCACTGCAAGAGCTTCCAACTTGACACGTCGTTTGGAAAGAACAGAAGGCAACAGCTGCTGTCGCCGTGTGCTGAAGTTCAACGCACCAACTCATAACGCGCCGACCCGCAATTTAAAGCTACAGCAGGGCCTGAATTATTCCCGCAGCACGGCAACCAAGCACCTGCCCCTTGAGAAAAGACATGGTATAAACACGGCGCTTGCATCTCTTTCTCTCTCTCTCTCTCTCTCTCTCTCTCTCCCCCCTCTTTCACACCCACTCACTCTGCAGGGATCATGGACGTCAACCAAAAGACAGGACGCCGACGTGCCGCTGAAACATACCCTCGACACTCGCCTATCACATCACCACAGGGTGGGAGGGGGGGCAGCACTTCGGAATCTCGTCGCGACAGTCAATGAAAAAGTGAATCAAAAACAAACGTAGATATCGCAGGCGTTTGTGTGGGCCAGGACGGGGAGGGGTGCGCAGAACGATCACAATGCACTTCATGTACCTATGTGTTAACGTGATTGTAGGGAGGCGGCAGTTTCACATGACGTGCCCGCGTCGGTGAGCTTGCGTCTTTACTTGTGTCTTGCGTTCGCGAAGCGTGAGGCACGATTGTTCCATGGATACCGTCCGCTATACGTATACACCCCGGCTTTGCCAGAATGCGGCCGCTCTGGAGCCCACCAAGCACCAACAACACCACAACCAACCGCCTCAACAGCAAAAACAACGACAACACCAACCAAGGTTGTCGGGTTCCACGCGTTGTTCGCGCTTCCTCTCTCTCTCACTTGCGCAGAGCTAGCGGCACGTCCCCCATCAGCGTGTCCGCCGCCCTCAGCCACTCGTCAGGGTCGTCCGGTGCAGCCCACCTTAGCGAGGAATCGAACTTCACCTCGCCTTCGACATCAATCACCACGGCTCGAACGCCGCTGGTAGGGGGTCCGAACGACAACAAAAGAAAATGGGGGGTGGGGTTAGGATACGGGGCCCTAGTTGGAAGGGAGGGAGGGGGGGGTACTCGTGTAAACGCATGCCGTAGTCGTTGTTGTAAACCATTGACCTCGCATCAACGCCGGCACGGAGCTATGTATGCATATGTGCCGGTTTTTCGCCGGCCCAGGCAACGTTTCACCAGGGATGAACTAAAGCTGGCCATCCGCCGTGGGTGTTGATTGGGCATCCCGGCTAACCAAAAACTTCACATTCGGCAGGCACAAGTATGGAAGTACCGCAAGGGAATTCGGTCTTTGCGCGCTAGTACAAAGCAGGTGCGCCACCACACAGCGAACAAGTCGCTTCGTGTGTGATGCACCACGGAGTATAACCCGCGTGTATACTCCAGGTGGAAAAGTTCCAGATTGAGCGGTTCGTATTGTGTATTGCTCCAGGGCGTTCCAACTATCTATCCAGTGTTCAGTGGACATCCAATAGGTGTAAACTCTAGGACCGAAGCCTACCAGGGCACAGGATATGCACTGCCAAAACCTGAATAATAAAGAATACCCAAAACAAAATAAACGGTACAACATAAACAATCTGAACCCTCACAGCAGTTGTACAGACAGCTCCGTTCCCGAGAATGACCGCCTCGTACGCTACGCAACAACAACAGCACACACAACAAGAAATCGCGCATGTGTAGATTATTCCTTCTTCTCCTCGCTGCTAACCCTCCTAGTTCACTCCATCAGCAATGGCTGCCTGCTTCATTACCTCCTACACTGACCTTGGCGGCGGTAAAAAAAAGTTGCGTCAGCACCGGCTGGATGCGGCAATCCGAAGGTACGCATTTGATCATGCACTCTAAATAGCGATGCTGCGCATGATGATATCTAAAATTTTAATTTTGAATGTGATAACCTTTGCACACAGCAAAGATGGCTTTCAAGTCTCCTCCTACATAGAACGTGAAGAACCCATGTCGCGAGCCGCTTTCGAGCTGGCTCTTCTGATAGCGAGTCCGGTTGCTCTCGCCCGCGGCGTGTCTTATTCCGTGGCGCGTACGTGCTTTGTTTCGAACGCAACTGGCACACGGCACACGCCGTATACACATTGCCGCTCCCTCTTAGAGAGCCCAACACCCGACCTGTACCTTGTGCCGAAGTCGAAACCCACTCCGAGTTGTCCCTCGCTCATGCTGCAGCTCCTGCTCCCGGTCTTGGTGCTATGTCGCTGCGGCGGCGGGCGACAAACAGATCCATGCGAGCTTGCCGGCGATGACAACAACGCTGATGATGTTGTAAAGCCAGCGGCGGCGCGAATCAGGGCGAACAGAGCGAGGAATGCTGCACTTCGGCAGCCGCCGTTGGCCTTCATTCGCCCGTAGTCTCTCTCTCTCTCTCCCTGCCGCGCGCAAGGGTGCGCTGCGTGGTGGTGTGTGGGTCAACGCTTGCTTGTGTGTACGGCACAAGTGACGAAGAGAACCGCAGCCTAGCGCCTGCAATCTAACGGTACAGAGCGGCGTGGTGTCTCAATGCGGTACACCTCACACCTCCACAGACAAGAGAGCCATATGGGGGTACCCCAAGGAAACCTGAACATTGGTGTACCCGTTTCAGCCCTGGACTGTCAGCATTTGCGTGGCTTGCTGGAGGCACTTTTGCTGGGTGTATCTGCGTTGCGCAGTCGTGCAGCGAGATGGCCTGCGGCGCGGGGCCGGAGTGGATGCCGGAGTCTTCTCGTTCTCTGCAAGTGGTTGCTTCCGTGGACCCTCGCCCGGATACTGTAGAGGATGTTCTGAACGTCTGTCCTCAGCAGGCTGCGAGCTTCGGTGAGCTTTGTGAACGCTTGGTTGCGGGAAATCTTGACTGAAACAACGGCCGGGATGCCGGGATGCCATCAGCCCGCCGACGAATAAGTCTCGTCAGTGGCTGCTTGTATCCCACCTTCAGTGTGAACGGGCAGGTTTGTTCGACCGAAGATGAACGGTGCCTCAAGTAAAGCATGTGGAGGCGTTTAGACTGCGTTGGAACATATTTAGACTGAACGTCTATCTACAAGTCTGCAGGTGTAGCAGCAGCACGCCACCGGCACGATGTCGGCTGCTGGTGTACGCTGCTGTGTCTTGCACCACAGTAGAGTCGGGCAGAGGGCTGCGAGAGGTAGGACCGCATCGATCACATCTCCGGTGAATGTGTCTCCCTCGAGATGGGCCCTCTTTTCAGCAACTTGCTGCTGCCCGACAGGACTACTATTTACTGTTCACCTCCGGGTTCTGGCAACGGTACATACCATCGCGTCTTGCCGCCTTAATCTCGAGACTGCTGTACCCTCGCCCTTCCCACCTGCATCCCACACCAGGCGGACGTCACCTGAGGTTAGCGTGGGTAGACTCCCCCCCGGACCCATCCCAAGGGTGGAGAGGCTGCGGCGGCCCGGCGCGCGTTCGCGTGGACACCGCGCTCCGCCCACAAGACCCCGCCGTGATGATCATGCCAGGGCCCCGGGCGGCCGCAAGGGACCCGGTCGTCCACCTCCGAACCTGCGCTGTGCCGCCTCACTTTGTCCAGCCGTGGGCTACCGTCGAGGTGGTGCGGGACGGCGGCGGTGGTGATGGAGATGGTGAACCGATGACGGAGGGCACAGAGGTTGGAGACGCGAGATCGGCGTTGCGTCCGGAGTCCGCCCTCGAGCTCCTGCGGGGCTGCGTCGTCAGGTCCGGCGGCGTCGTCCACCTCCTTCATGCCCCGGCAGATGCCACCTGCCGCTGCGTTCGGCTCCTCTGTCGACGGGCGCCGGAGTACGTTGTCCCTCTCTCGACAGGCTCTCCTTCTGGGACTACTCCCGCCACCGGCGCTTCCGCAAGCCGTCGCGCGGGGGGCTCCCACAGGAGCAGCAATGAGAAGTCAAGCCACGGCCGACACAGAGGAACAAGGCGGCGTAGCAGAGAAGGGGAAGATGCTGAGGAGAAGCAGAAAGTGGGGGCCTGCGGTGAAGGCGAGACGGAAAGGTTAGGGACGAAGCAGGCAACAGCAGGGACGGACGTCGCATGTACGCGGCGAGGGGATTCGGCGACTGGAGCCATCGCCGGAGGGTCGAGCCAGAGCTGTACACCGGGAGGGAAGACTGGTGTGAAGAAGGAGGGGGACTGGGCCGACCGGCTGTCCGATTGGGGGGCGGTGACGATCAGCAGCGAGGTTGTTGTGCCCCACAAGGCGCTCGAAGTGTCTTACCACGACATTTCCGCCGCCGCCCCAACAAAAACCACCTGTCGAGAAGGTGTGGAACGGTGTGCATTCGTGCTTTGCCTTTGGGTGGGATTTGTGCATTCTTGGGCAAGAGATGACCCATGTTTTGTTATGTGGGTGACCTGCTTTGTTTATGTTTATGACTAGTGACACCATTAGCCGCGGATCAGGCTTTTTGGGGCACGTTAATTCATGTTCTTTTCATACCCGCCCCCTCGCCCCTCCCCGGTGTTGGCCATCGGGGTTGGGTTTTCGTCGCTTGGCAACGACGTTGTAAAACAAGCCAATGCACTTCGTGAACTCGGCAACCAGGTTACCGTTGTTTTTTTTTATCTCTGTTTTTTTTTTTGCGATAACCGTAGTGGTGGTCGAGTAGATCATGTTGTGCGGGGTGGAGAACCCTCACTCCGTGCAAGGGGGATGATCGCACCACGTTGTGTTAACATGGCCAAGCATCCTCGAGGCAGTTACACAGTGCTTATCACTGTCTCTGGAAGTGAAACCACCAGAAAATAAATGAAGTCATACGCAGCTGTCATCCGTACCCAAGGAAGTAAGCACAAGATGCCGAACACCCTTAGCAGGATGAAGCTCACCCTTCATGCGACTCGCCGAATACCGTACGGCGCTTCGCGCTTGGTGATGTGAGAGCCTGGTCCGGTGAGAACCCGGCGTGCTCCGTCCCGGCTTTGTAGGGATGCGAGGTCAATGGTCTAACGACTACGGTATGCACGACTATGAGTTACACCCCCCCCTCGTTCAGAGGCAAGGTAGTGGGAAAGCGCGACCCTGAGCAAGATTAACGAGGAGAACTTGGATAGGAAATGACACAGTGAAGGTCAAGTTTTAGTAGCTAAGTCAAGTGAGGCAAGAGTCACTATCCTAGGAGATGGACGATGTTAAGAAGAAGTATGAGGCCAGTGTTTTTCCCCTACACATCAAAAGTAAGGCAATACACAACACCCGCGGGTGCCTCTACATGTCAGGAGTAGGAATGGTGTGCGTTCGCGAAAGGTATCCATTAAGTGCGCGGCCCCATCCAACCCGCTCTCTCTCAATTACCCTCCCCGCCCTCTCCCCGTGTTTTTTTACCATGCAGGCCGCCCTCCAACTCTAGGGGAACCGGTTTGGGTGGAGACCGTCCTACGGAGTCACGAGGCCTCCGTCGTCGACGACCTCTCGGCCGCTTTCGAGCTAGCAGAGACAGGGGTCAGCGCCAGTGGGGTTGCTGGACGGAGAGAGGAGATGACCGTGAGGGGCGGTGGGGGCCGTGGCGGCGGTAACGGTGCCTTGCTCGTTCACGGCCCTTCGGGGGTGGGAAAGACTCGCCTGGTAAGTGGTGAGAGAGAGAGAGAGAGAGAGAGAGAGAGAGAGAGAGAGAGAGAGAGAGAGAGAGAGAGAGAGAGAGAGAGAGAGAGGAGAGAGAGAGGAGAGAGAGAGAGGGCGAAAACTCAAGGGTTAAGTTCGGGGTCAACACAGATAATTATCTGACCAACACGTCTTAGATGCCTACCGCCAGCAGCAGCCGTTAGCGCAGCTGCGTGCCTCACTCTCACCCTCATTCCTCCCGATGACCTTTTACCGCGTGTATACAACAGGTTGAAGCGCTTGCGGCACGTCTTGGCTGTCGTCTTGTCAAGCTTTCTCCGGGAAGACTGGCCGCCATCGGGGGGGTGCACGCCGACCGGTGAGATGACGTCACAGCATGGATGACGCGTCACGGCGTGGTGTTTCCCCCTGCCTTCACGGTACAAGCATGTTGTCGCCTATGCCAGCACTCCCCCCATCACGTGTACGCCCCCCGCTTTGATAAGGAGCTAAACCATAGCCAAGTGACGGATTGAGAACAAGACTCGCAATAGTTAGGGTTGGCCCTGGTTAAGAATAGGAATAGGAACTGTTCTCCATCTCGACAGGCTCCATCTTGACAGGGATGGGCCCGTCCTTGACCAAGCACTACACCGACGTCTAGGATGAGCGACTTTTGGGGCCCCCGTTCCCCTGTTTAGATTAAGGGCGCTCGAGCGACGACGGCGAGGGGAAAAGATGGTGTAAGCGATGAGGTGCTGGGTCAAGGCGTAGGCAAAGCGCGCCATGAGCATCCTCCCAAACTTATCCCAAGCAAGAAGTAGTTTACCATCGATTGGTCGGCTAGTATCATACGTTTTCCGGGACGGCGTTGCGGTGCTGGACATGGCGAGGTCGTGTAACAACATGTTGTCACTATGACCGTGCATGACAATGAATATGCCCCGACGCCACCTCCGTCCCTGTCTTGTCTCTGTCGCGTGTCAGGGTCTTGTCGGAGGCGTTTCAATACTGCCGCCGGTGCGTATCACACAGGGTGGTACTCCTCCTCGACTCCATCGACAGGTGGGATGAAACCTAGACCTACAGACGCACTTCCCCCCCCCCCCCCTCAATCACGGGTAGTTTTTTCAGGTCCTCTCCCCAACCCCACCTAATCCTGTCTGCGATCCCCCGTGCTGGAATACCCTCGACCGGAACTGGCGGACGATAACAAGCAGCAACGAGACACTCGCTCCCCTCGATACTCCAACCCAAAAGGGGGTGGTGTGAGAATATATTTCTGTGCGCTGTTGAATGAGCCCGACGACGAGATGTGCAGCAGTGCTCTGCAGCACGAAGCTTGGGTTGCACTCCCATCGTCCACGGCGTAGCATTCCGACGAGACCAGCAGCAACATGTGTTGGGAAACAAGCGGTATCGCCTGATGTGTTAAAACGGGGGCGCTTGCTTTCCCTCCCTCTGCTCGCTGGCAGGCTCACGCCGGCGGCTCGGGGCAATGTGGGTGCTTCCCGCGGCGAGGTGGACGCCGGCCTGCTGAACGCCTTCGTGCTTGCGGTGGAGCAGGTGCGCGGGTGTTCTTGCCGTGTACAGGCGGTGGTGATGATCTGTCGGAGTTTTTACTTTTTGCCTCTCATTGGGCACTGATCGATCAACGGTGGCACCAACCGTGTGTACGCGTGAGATTCGTGTCGTTGGTCTGTATTGCTGCGATCCGAAAGCCGTGGGGCTACGGTAGAGCAGTGCCAGTACCCTGTCTGGGTACGTTGGCTACAGGGAAGCTGCCCCCTTTGCGGTATTTTTGGATTGCTCTTTTTCACCAAAGGATCCAAGGGTTTTGTTTCTTCTGTACTCGGCGGGAGGGATGCATGTGTGTGGAGAATCCATTCGAGGTACTCGAGCATGGCGGGATGATGGATGTGCCGCCGCACCCTATCCTTCCGTCCTCGCGAGATGGAGAGTGAGAAGGAGACACGCGATGCCCTGTTGGGCTCGTGCTCTTACGGCCCAGGTGTCGTGCTTCGGTGTGCAAACAGAAGCTGAGATCCCGGCTCTGTTCCCACGAAGTTGTCGCGGCGGATTCTATCCCCTGTCCCTCTCTATGTCTTTCTCTAGCTAAGTCTCTCTTTTTGTCTCTCTTATCTAGCTTCTCTTTCTGTCTCTCTTCTCTCTGTCTCTTGTTCCGTCTCTCCGTCTCTTCTCTCTGTCTCTCTGTGTGTGTGTGTGTCTCTCTCTCTTTCGCTGAGTCTCTTTCTCTCTCTCTCTCTCTCTCTCTCTCTCTCTCTCTTTCTCTCTCCATCTATCTATCTATCTCTTTCTCTGTCTCTCTCTGTCTGTCTCTCTCAAGCATGCGCTGACAAGAACAAACAAAGCACGTCGCGCACGATAGGTCCACCCTCATCCCACCGACCGCCTAAACTACCGTGTTTCCTGCTGCTGCGCTCGATCGCCTACCACACGGAAAAAAGGGACGGCGGGATCCCCGCTGCCGAGGTCGCGTGGCCGTGGTGGGAGTGACGTCGTGGCCGGATCAGGTGCATCCCACCGCGCGTCGGTGCGCCGGGCAGGAGGTGCTCGTCCTTCCCCCCAGGCACGTCCATTTTCGTCGTCCATGTTGTGCGTTGTCGTGTTGTTGCTGCTGCTCTTGATTTATCTAGGGCGGGGGGCGTATTTGACTATTTGCTGGTGGTGGTGGTACTGCTGTGGTCTTGCTCTTGACCCTCAACAACAGCAGCCGTCGTCGCTACTACTGCACGCATAACCGCTGTCGTTGCCCTGTCTTTGTTCTCTCGCCCTCGTTGGATTCGCGCCCTGGCTACGGGGAGAGCGCAGCCAGCCTCTGCGCGCCAGGATCTTGAGCCGCGCTCTGCTGCACACGGGCAAGTGGGAAGAAGCAAGCGCGGACGAGGGGGGAATATCCCCAGCAACGAGTGCACAGCAGGTACGTGTGTCCATTTTACGTATGCAGATAGAGCAGTACGCCCGTACCGGTGCGAATCATGTTTCCTTAACAAAGGCGTTCACAAGCAACGCGCTTCCGGTCGCTGGAGCGAGCCCCTCTCTCGGCATCGGTCCTTTGCATCATTTGGGACACGAAAGTCACCCTTGAGGGTGGGTGAAGACTTGAGTCCTGAGCCAGGGGGCGGCTGTGCGGTTGGGACGCGGCGGCCGACGCAACGACTCCTTGTGCGCGCGAGGGCCTCTGATGTGGCAAAACGGCCAATGGAGACGCCATCCACCCCGGCATGAACCGTACGTGCCGAGCCAGCCGCCCGCGTTCCCTCCCCCGTCCCCGTCGTCCTCAGGACGCCTTCGAAGAAGTGGTCGGGCTTTGCCAGGGGTTCACGGCGGGGGACATGTGCGCCGTTGCTGCTGCTGCTGCTGCTGCTGCTGCTGCTGCTGCTGCTGGGTCGCGGCTACCGGACAACGATGACGGGGGGAGACAAACGGCCGAGCAACGCGCTCTCGCACGCGCGGAAGCTCTTCGTGCAGGGTTCCGACAGGTCTGATACACACTAGTACAAACGCCTTTTTTTTTTTTGCGCTCCTTTGTGCGGGTTTTCTTTGTGCAGGTTGGCGTGTTTGTGTGCCTTGGTCACTGGTCTGTTCCGTAGGCACGCGCTCCTGCAGAAAGGGACCCGTGTGTTTTGGTTCATCCGAAACACCCTTGTCTCGTACCCTGTAAGGTCGTAGATTCACACTCGCCTACGAGAGAGGAAGTTATCTGTGCCACACTGTTCCCAACTCTGTCTGCACGACGGTACATCCCCTGTCGACCGTTCATATCGGCCGTCTGGTCATTGTCAGGTTCGACAGCGTGTTGCTGCCGGAAGAGGAGGGGCTGGCGGAGGCGGGGGTGGCTCGGCGTCCGTCGCCGGGGTACCGCGTGTGCGATGGTCAGAGGTATGATGCCACAACCACGGGGGACTTTCGACCGAGGCAGTGGCACTGAGTCAAATCGCTATCATCGAGACTGCGACAAACGTTGCGAAAAATTCAACCCACGATGTCACATCGTTCAGGTGCCGAGGGGAGCAGGAGCGAGGCTCGCCCTTTCACTTCTATGCACTCGACATGTTTCATTAGTTCCTGTACTACACTCACTCACTCGTCGGTGCAACGAAGGCGATCTGACTTCCCCAACCCGCGCGCGCCCGCCGCTTGCTCCACTATGCTGCTCAGGTCGGTGGACTCGAGCGCGCCAAGCGCGCCGTGCAAGAGATGGTGGTGTGGCCCGCACGGTTCCCGGAGGCGTTTTCTCGGATGGGAATAACGCCGGCGTCTGGGGTGCTCCTGTTTGGACCTCCAGGTGCGGGCTAGCATGCCGACACTAGCAAACGACGACCAACATACCACCGCAGTAACAGCAGTAGCAGCAGCAGCAGTAGCCGTATTGTAGCAGTTGCATTCTCCCATGAGCAGACAGAGGGTTGGAGGGGGGGGGGGGGCGTGTGATATTTGCGGGCTGTACGGTGAGGAGGGGGTGGTGGGCCTTTTCGAAGCGAGGCGCGGAGATGCGGTGGGGGATTTGCGTTGCGATAGTGTGCACTCGCGACGTAAAGGGCAGAGGTTCTGACTGTTTAAGCCGTGGGTTTGGCGTGCAGGTGTATAGCGGAAGGCGTGCGTATTACTGGAGCGATCGGAGGTTGACGCTAGGGTGACTAGAAAAATCCGGGGCTCTTGGCGAATTCGTTCGTCGAAGCAACGATATTTTCAGGATACATGCACGATTTTTCTGATGCCGCTGCATGTCGGGTGTCTTGTATCACCCCATTGCACCTCGTCGTCCCCCGGCTTTGTAGGGACGCGAGAGCCTATTTTTGAGCGTCGGCGATACCCATGATCTTGCGTGCACCCTCCCCAACCCCAACCTCAACCCTACCCCCCCCCCCTTCACCCACGCCAAACACGCCTCCACGACGCCACAGGAACCGGGAAGACGCTGCTTGCCAAGGCCGCGGCTACCGAGACGGGGGCGACCTTCATCGAGCTCAAGGTTTCCGACGTGGTCCGCGGAGAGATCGGCGAGAGCGAGAAGGTGCGGCGCCGCTTGTTTTGCTGTTCTTGTGTTTGCCGCCTCTGACCCTCGTCGCCCCGGCGGTTCCCCCCGCGACGACGTGCATACACCCGTGCTGATCCTCGAGATAGAGAAAAAACGAGCTCCACGCCAGTCCACAGGCTGAACCAGGCTGAAGTGGATGCTTCTCTCGCGTACCATCCTTTCCTCCTCGGAGCAGTAGGCACACAGGGTGGGAAAACAATATGTATGCGTACATAGTTTGCTTTTCTTTTGTTTGTCCTTTGTACAATGTTCTTTTGGTTCTAATGTGTAACAATATGCGTAGTTTACTTTTTTTTTTTTTTTATCCGTTGTACAATGTTCTTTTGGTTCTAACGTGTAACACTTATGCGTAGTTTGCTTTTCTTTTATCGTTGTAAAAATTTCTTTGGTTCTAACGTGTAACGTTCATGCGCGGCTGCGTGACGGACGTCGCCACCATGATGTTTGCCATCAGGCCGTCGACCAGGCGTTTCGCACGGCGCGAGAGCTAGCACCGTCCATCGTGTTCATCGACGAGTTTCAGGCGCTCTTCGCTTCCAGAGAGGCGGGGGGGGGGACAGGGTGAGGACGATGCAGGAAAACTTGCAACAAACTGGAAGTTCACAGCTGGGTAGTTTTATTTTGGCGTCGTTTTTTTGTATCGTCTCTGCGTGATGTTCGTTTTTTGTCGGTTTTTTGCCTCAATTAGGCATCAATCGTTGTGCTTTCGAAACTCGGGGCGTCACACTGCAAAGCAGCACGGGGTAGCCACCGTGGGGGGCTGGAGAGACCGGCAGTTCTGGTAGTCGCGGCATCAAGCAAACTTGGACTGAGGGGCACCAAGGGGGACATTGGCAAGGACATCAAGGCAGAAGAGAGCACCAGGATAATTTCACTCATGAAAGGAGCAAGCTTTCCAAAGGAAGACGGGCGGATCTCCCTGCAAGTGTACGGCGTTGGTCGAGTGTGAAAAGAATCGAAAACAAGCACGCCGGTTGCCCTGCCGTATGACGCGATACCCCCCCCCCCCCGCCCCGCCCCGCCCCCCTCCCGCGACGCACGAGCAGTTCGCGCCTCGCGTCCCAGCTGCTCGTGTGCATGGACGAGCTGGCTCGCTGGAGAGCCGCCGCTAGACGGAGCGTGGCTGACACCGCCGATGGAAAAGACAGCGCCGGCGACAACGACGGCCCCGCGCCGGTGGCACAAGGAGGCGGGGGAGGGGGTGGGGGAGGCAGCGCGAACGTTATGGTGCTGGCTGCCACTAATGCCCCGGAGGCGGTCGACGCCGCGTTCTTGCGGCCGGGCCGTTTCGACGAGGTGAGGGCTGTACAGTAGCCTGCGGCAGCTGTGTGTGCCGGGTCGTCGCGATACGATGGGAGTGGGGGGGGGGACCTTGTACGAACGTACCAATCAATGAAAGTTCGACTGGCCGCAAGCACGCGTTTTGCTACACGGGGACGGGGCGGCGGTGGAGGGGGAGTTGACCTTGCTCAAGGTAGACGAGGTGTTGCGGGGGAGATTCAAGCAACGCTGTTTGTCAGATGTTTTGAATGATGCCACACCGTGGGTGGGCGTACCTCACCCCTTGCCACTTTCCCTGGAGCAGTTTCCAGACAAAGATCGATCTGCTCCACACGACAAGAAGAGAGGGCGGATGTCAACTCCAACCAATGAGTGTTCGGAAATCTCTTGGGCAGGCTCTTGCGAAGCCGCCCACGTTGGCGGCGACACCCTTCTTGTCGTGGAGCAATTGAGCTCCTCGACATAGGTTTACTGCTGTACAAATGTATTGCATTTGTGTTGTACGACGTATTCTACCACGGTAGGTTCTAGGGGGAACGACGGACAAGAACGACGAAGACAGCGTGCGGGGCTCCCATGTGTCGCTTGACTCCGCCGCTTTCACTGCCGAGAAATCGGAACCTTTTATGAGCTGCGCTCGTTCTCAACCGCTGTCTCTCCCCGGCGTAGCAAACGCCTACAACCTTCGTGTAAGCTCTAACGGACGCAACATGCTGAAAAATTGATCCTTCCTCGGTCGAAAGGAGAACAATACTATAGCGTATACCCGCGTTTGGCTGCTTTGTGCTCCACGTTCTTTTGTTTCGCAGATCGTGTACGCAGGTCTCCCCGACGCCGACGGAAGGCGGCAGATTCTGCGGGCCTCCAAGTCCCGAATGGAAGGCCTGTCGACAACGGCAGCTGCTGCAACAGGTGCGACGGTGGCGGAAGTTCCACCATCTACGCAGTTACCGCCTCGCGACGACTCCGACACAACAACTCGTGTGTTGCTCGCGGCACAAGAGGTGAAAACATCCCCTCCCGCCGTCGACTCCTCCGCAGGCACTTCGACGGCAACGGCCGCAGCGGTGCCAACCAAAGACGGACGAGGGAGCGGATCACCGGTCCACCCCGACAGGAGCAGCAGCACCGGTGGTAGTGGGAGTCGTCCCGTCGGGGGCGGGAGCCGGGGCGGGAGGTGGGCGAGCGACGTGGACTTGCTGTGGCTGTCGCGGCAGACCAAGGGCTACAGCGGGGCCGACCTGTCCAGCCTGGTCAGGAACGCAGCAATGGTCGCCCTTCGTGAGGAAGGCGGGGGGGGGGGGCGGGGCGGGAGGAGGGGCGCCTTGAGCTCGTTTGTCGGCGGCGGTAGGGGGACTGGTAGAAAGGAGGGGGTGTTGATCATAACGCGAAAGCATTTCGAGGCAGCGCTGGCGAGCACCCAGCCTTCGTCTGGGACGGAAACGGAGGCGAAGCACGAGAGATGGGCGCGGCAGTGGCACGTTGGGTCATGAACCGCAATCGCCCGCGGTCGGCGGTGTGCTTTTTGATTGAGTTTGTTGTGTGCAGGTGCTTTGAGATGCACGGAGCGCTTCACGCCGGCGCAAACGGTTTTCGTGCCCCTTGTAGTCTCCTGTGCATGCTGTTGTTGTATTGTTTTGTGTACCACCGGACATTGCTCCCGGGGTTAAACGTCAAGTGTCGGGAAAAGACAAGAGAGAGGGAAAGGACGTTACCATCATGCCCCCAACGTACACGCAGGATATCTTGAGGATCGCTGGCTAGTTTGTAGGTAGGTGATGGCTTGTCGAAGCGAGAAGGAACGGAGAGCCTTTGACAAGGGATTGGTTTCACAGAGAGAGGTAAATGGTACTCTCGCATACAATATGCTCTTGCGGACCAATCTGAATAGCTGTTTAAGCGGTGGCAGCGGCCCATGAAGGAACTCTGATTTCGAGATGGGAACGAAATATGAAATATGAGCGACGCAACCGGTCTTGTTTAAGGTCTTCGAGAATATATCTCCTACAGCACACTCGCCGTTTGCGTTATCGCTATTGCACCAGTCTCTTCCGATGTTTCCAATAGTCCCAAGTGCAAATAAATGTCAACGTTTCTGCTCGGAAGAATGTCGAAAATGATTTCTTTTTATTTTGCAGCGTTGCAGCCGCCCTTGTTCGGCTACAGCAACCACCTGCTCTCGACCCTCAACGTCTACATCATGATCAGCGCAAGGCATTTTCACCACGCGCCTTTCAACGACACAAGAGGGACGATGCTATTTGCAGTGTTCCACAGGTGTCGTCGGCCGGCGAAATCTAGAGTATCCCGTGAAAACCGTGAACAACCCGTAATAATGCGAGTGCTAAATATCCGCACTCGCGCATACATACATACATCCATGGTGCAGCATACACGGGGCGGAATCCGGAGCATTTTGAACGGCAACTCGGCGCGCATAATACGAGTATTTCCTGCTGTGTTGACAAGCAGGCTCAATCGGCGTTTGTGATCGCCTCAGCCAGCCCATAGCACACTCAACACAACAATCTCCTCTCCTTGTTCGCTCGCGAGACAGCCGCTACAGAGGTGGCAGCGTTTCCGCGTGTCGGAACAATCATTGTTCTCCCATTGGACAAAATGGGGTGTAGCTCCGAGCAGAATTTATACGTCTGTACCTCTTTTTTCCGCGCTGAAAAGGGTACACGGGGGTGTATTTACGTAATTAGTAATTACCAACGGCTTTGCCCTTTGCCCTCTCCGCGGGAAAATCTCACACACTCCCGCTCACCTTTGCGCGCTCCACCATCACCACCACCTTGCTCAGTCACTACACACACGGAGGAAGGCACGAGAGCAGCGAACGTCTAGTAGAGAGATAATCCCTGCTGGAGGTAGAGAGCCACACACATCGCCACCTGCACCCCTCTTCACAGCTAGCTGCAAATCGCCACATCGATCCGAGAGATAAAAGAGGTAGGTGGTTCGTGCAGCGAAGCGGGCGGGAGAGAGAGAGAGAGAGAGAGAGAGAGAGAGCGAGAGACGGAGAAGAAGAGGCAAGCGTTGCTCAGCAGGACTGCTTCGTGAAGGGTTTGGCACGGCAGGGCTCCCTATCGCGAAGATGCACACTCGAAGAAACACCGCGGTCCAGGAGAACGCCGGCTTCGGCATGGACGAGAACGCGAAGCCCTCCGACCTTGGCGCTGCTGCCGGCAAGGCCGCGTTGGGCGGGGGAGCCAAGAAGGGACTGGGAGGTGTCCAGACACGGCGCGGGCTGCGAGACATCACCAACAAGGCAGAGGAAGCCGTGGCAGAGGGGGCAGGCAAGGGGGGGAAGAAGCCCGGGGCTCGCGTGGCGAGCGCGAGCGTGGGCAGCGCGGACACTGGCGCCGCGGCTCCCGCGGCGCCGGCAGCGGCTTCCCTCGCGGTAGCATCATCATCCTCATCTTCGTCCTCTGCTGCGGTGACCCAGACAACAGCACCGGCCGCGCCGGCTGCCGTTGCTTCGGCGCCCGCCTCGCGCCCCATCCGTACCGCCTCTAGAACACCAACGGACATCGACCAGCGCGACGCCGACGAGCCGCTCGCGGTGACGGAATACGTGGAGGATCTGTACGTGTTCCTGAGGGAGCGGGAGATCGCGACGAAGGTGGACCGGGGATACATGGATTCGCAGCCGAACGTGAACGAGCGAATGCGCTCGATCCTGATCGATTGGCTCGTGGAGGTGCACCTGAAGTTCAAGCTCGTGCCGGACACGTTGTATCTCACGGTCTACCTCATCGACAAGTACTTGGAGCTTGAGACGGTGAGAGCTAGAGACACACAGAGAGGATTGTTTTGGTTGGTTGATTCCGTGTATCGCGCGCCAAAAAAAAAGAGAGAGCGAAGGCTGTTGTTGTGGTCCCGATGAAGACCCACTGCAGCGCGGTGGAGCCGATCTTTCCTTCTCGGTGTGCCGTTAGCAGGCCGTAGGGTTCGTCTCGCGTTCGCCACGAAGCAGCGGAGCACAGCCTGTGGCAGCACTCCTTCGTGGCAACGCGGGATTCATGATCAATCGCTTCAAGCGGAACCCGCAGAAACAAAAACGCAGCTTGCTCGTTTTGTGCAGATCTCGAGTAAAATTCCCGTTGACTTTCGTGCGCAAGCCCGCGCTCTTCTCCCTCCCATTCTTCCGAACGCGCGAGAGACCAAAGCACAGTGCCCCCACCAACCATGGAGTCGACCACGTAGCGGTATATACGTTGAGCGTTGTGAACTTGTGTGGTTCTCCGAGTCACGGCGGTTGACCCGAAGCTTGCGTGAGCTTTCCCTGTGGTGTTTGGCACTGCTGTTTTTGCGCCTCTTTTGGGTTGACCGTGTTGTTGTCACAGCATCTAGCATACATGTATCTCCTGCTGTTGCGTGGGCTTGGCATGTCATTCATGTTATTCCACTGCCGTGTCCTCTTCTGCTAGAACAGCAGTACCCACAGACCCTTCCTTCCCTATGTGCATGCGCAGCAGTATGTTTATCTCGTTATTTACTTGTGCGTGCATCGGTTCCTTCTCTGACGAAAACGAAGAGCGGCCGGCAGTATGTCGCGGCCGAAAACCGGTACGTAACCGGCTCACTTTGCACGCGCTGTCCACGTGAAAGAGTATTGAACGGTGGCATCTGGAATAGCACACCAAGCGCGACACGGTGCTCTTCCGCCGGAGAAGCAAGCAAGTGCCTTAGCGGCGATTACCGCCACGCCCAGTAGTCGTTCGAGACTGGTGTCCCGCCCTGGGCAAAAGAGCGCTTCCACCCACCGAGTCTTGTTGGACATTTACTACACGTACGGAGTACCTTATCCCACACCGTTTATATTCCCGCCGTCACTCTCCTTCATCATCAGGTGACGAGACAAAACCTTCAGCTGGTGGGCGTGACGGCGATGTTGCTGGCCTCCAAGTACGAAGAGATCTACCCCCCCCAGATCCGCGACCTCGTCTTCATCACGGACCGCGCCTACAACCGCGACCAGATCTTGGAGATGGAGTCGACCATGGCGAACGCCCTGCAGTTCCGGCTGACCGTCCCGACCATCTACTGCTTCTTGCTCCGATACCTCAAGGTTAGGCTGCCGATCTTTTTTTTTTCTTTCCTGCTCTGTTTATCTATTAAGTTCATGTGTCCGTTGGCCTCCACCCGTCGGCGTTGTCTTCTGGCCGCCCTGTACCTACTTTGTACCAGGGGGAAGTCGGCCACACAAAAACGGTTTACTCTCCTTGGTGCTCGCTTGTCTGTGCTTTTTTTTTTTACCCGAGACGGTGTAAGTGATTGTAGCTCCTCCTCTAGAACAGAACACATGGCAGTCACGAGGTACGAAGTACTGGTCTCTTCTGTAAGCGCGTTCCATGGGGGGGGGTGACGCGTGACTTGCAGTCAAAGGAACGCATGGCTACCCCCGTGCCCTTTTAGCAGACTCCTTTGTACCAAATGTCCGTATTCCAAGATTCCAAGGAGAAGTTGAACCCGCTCCGCGCACTCCCCACCGCAGCCCCAAGTTTTTTCGTCGTCAGCCTTAGCCGTAAAACCTGAATACTGCTGTCATCTATCAACCAACCAACCAACGCCAAAACAAATATGAGCCGCGCGCTCCCGAACGCGCACACCCAAGCCTTAGGGCTGTGCTTGGGATTGTGCTATTATAATACCCTTTCTTCACCCGCGCAAGGACGCCCCTACATGATTAGGCGCAACCACCGAATCAGTGTCTACGGCGAGATCTAGTCTTACCCTCCGCTCCTCCGCCGATGCGGAATTCCGTCCTCCCTGCCGCTGCTGTTGCTACTGCTGTCGACTGTGGACGGGCAGGCGGCGCACGCCGATAAGAAGATCGTGCAGCTGAGCTGCTACGTAGCCGAGCGCATGCTGCAGGAGGTGAGCATGCTGGACTATTTGCCCAGCGTGGTGGCGTGCTGCGCGATCTACGTGGCGCGCAAGAACATGGGCCGAACGTGCTGGAGCCCTACCCTCGAGAAGTACACCAAGTACCGGGTGGAGGACCTCATGCCGTGCCTTGGCGAGGTGGGTTTAACGAGGCTCCGCTGCCTTCAGAATGCTGCTTGCTGCGTGTTGAGCTTATGGTCGTGAATATTGTTTGAATTTTTAACCAATAACGGCGGCCTGGTGGCTGCCGTGGCTTTTGTGGGCGTTTGGTGCTCATGAACGGACTGCAGTCGTGACCGCCGCTGTCTGTGTCTAAATAGACCGAGTTTTTTGGGCCACTTGGTAGGCGGGGCATAGGGCATGTGCCCACCCGGAAGTCGCAGAGAAGAGGTAGGACCAGAGATGGATGCCTTACTGCTGTAACTTCAATCAAGGTCACCGGCCTACACGTTTGTCCACCAGTCGAATCTCCGTACCCTCTTGAGGCAAAATTCTGGTTGGAATTTTGTGATTGATACGGCCCGCACAGGGGATACTCACAGAAGTCTTGTGCGGGTAGACAGGGGGTCGGAATCTCGGAACGCACAAGACAACGCTTCTGCAGGGGTTGTCGATAGGCATCTCTCTCGTAGACGCGAACGTTGGACCAAATGAGGGGCTACTGCTACGATGGGGACGGGCTGAGTGCAAATATATTGTAGTGACTCGGCCGTTGAGGCCCACCCCGGCCCCCGCTCGTTGCATTTGGTGGATTTTCGCATTTTTGTCGACCCCTCGCGGTGCCGGAAATGTTACTCAACATATTTCCTTTGCTTAACAATGTTTTTTTGGTTGTGATCCCTTGCCGTGTCGACGCCGTGTGTGCTCTCGTCCACGGTGTGGTGGTGCGGCGACGGCGGGTTGTGGCAACAGATCTCCCGCGTGCTGAAGCAAGAAGGGGGCGACCTTGAGGCGGTGAAGAAGAAGTTTAGCAGCAGCAAGTTTGGCTCCGTGGCGACCATGAAGGTCAACGTCCTCCCGGACGACTCGCCGTAGCTGACAGGTCGGCGGCAGGCGGTGGCAGTAGGCTACTTACCGCGCGCTTGACTGGTGGTCAGCTTTTGTTTGAAGGGGGCGGGCGGGCGAGGGGGAGAGTTTTAAGGACGGGGGTTTTGAGCATGGCACAAGCGTCGAGTGTAGAGCTGGCTCCTTTAGCGACGGCGACTTCTCTCCCTCTCCCGTGTTCTTCTGTCTTGCACCCACCCCCTTGTTGTTTGTTTTCGTTTTTTTACCGGTTTTCACGGGGTGGGTGTGGTGTTTACAGGCATTTATCGGTGTGGGGGTAAATTAAGCGCCTGCGATCGCCGATGTGCATCATATTTCGCAGGTACGGGTGTAGCAGTAGTCACCAAAGGTTGTA